GGGGGGGGTTGGAAGAGTAAAAAAATGTTACTAACATTTTAATGAAAAATAGTTTCAAAGAGAACGTTTTTGAAATATAATAATATCTAACCAGTATTTACATTATTTATATCAATATCGAATTTTTACAAAAATTTGGACCCGATCGGTTTAGCCTGCTAAAATGATCAGTTACTAACAAACAAACAGACACCCAAAGTATATGGATGTGAAGATGTGATTAGGTTTCAATTTACACACCCTTTTATTTTCAGCGAACACTCCCTTTCAGTGGAAAAAGGTTGTTTCATAAAAAAGATTAAGTTGGTGGGAATACATTCTCTGGGGAAAACTTTATTGCTAGAATATTCATTATCAATGTGAGGGGGGGGACTGTATATGAAAAAAGAAAAGCACAGAAGTGGAAAAATAAAAACTACTTTTTCATCCCTCTCTTTGCTTATTTTGTTTTTGTCTCTGCTTTGGCCCCCCCCCCCATACTTAAAACTAAAGAAGGATTCCACACATTAGTTACCCTTTTCCTTCATTTTTTTTCGTGCATATCTGATAAGCTAGGAATAAAACGTCCAATAAGCTCTTCATCATGTTCGCTGTGGACTGCATTGCAATTGCATAATCAAGAATTCAAGATTGTACTTTAATACTTCTTAAAGATTTTATACATCGAATATCGACTTCTGTAGATTAGACAACAGAGCGAAAGGAAGAAATTTTCTGATAAAGAACAGGGGCAAATGGTGAAAATACCATAACTTTGTCCAATAAAAATTCTAATTTTAGGATTTTATTTAGGATTTTATTATAAAACAAAAATCATCAGCGGTGCTCCACGCTCCTCATTACAGATATAGAAACATTATCTCTTCAATTAGAAGTCTCTACCCCCCCCCCTTACAGTTCTACCAAGTTACGCTTTTAGTACAGTTTTTATATTGTTTTTTTTTAAGTTTTACTATTTTTTAAGTTAATGCCTGATTTCAAAGAAAATGTACTTTTAATGATATCTATATTCATCAATGAAATAAAAAAGTTTAAACAAATCTCAAACTTTTTATCTGAATGGAAAAAAGTTAAAACTCTTGAATCCGTTTGACCTGAAAATGTAAAAGGACGTTTTAATAATTCAGAGAAAAAGTATACTGAACAGAGAAAAAGTATACTGAACAGAGGAAAAGTATACTGAACAGAGGAAAAGTATACTGAACAGTGGAAAAGTATACTGAACAGAGGAAAAGTATACTGAACAGAGGAAAAGTATACTGAACAGGGGAAAAGTATACTGAACAGAGAAAAAGTATACTGAACAGAGGAAAAGTATACTGAACAGGGGAAAAGTATACTGAACAGAGGAAAAGTTGAACAGTGGAAAAGTATACTGAACAGGGGAAAGTATACTAAACAGGGAAAAAGTATACTGAACAGGGGAAAAGTATACTGAACAGGGGAAAATTATACTGAACAGAGGAAAAGTATACTGAACAGATGTTCTGATCTAGTCTGAACTGTGTTCTGATCTAGTCTGAACTGTGTTCTGATCTAGTCTGAACTGTGTTCTGATCTAGTCTGAACTGTGTTCTGATCTATTCTGAACTGTGTTCTGATCTAGTCTGAACTGTGTTCTGATCTAGTCAGAACTGTGTTCTGAACTAGTCTGAACTGTGTTCTGATCTAGTCTGAACTGTGTTCTGTTCTAGTCTGAACTGTGTTCTGATCTAATCTGAACTGTGTTCTGATCTAGTCAGAACTGTGTTCTGAACTAGTCTGAACTGTGTTCTGATTTAGTCTGAACTGTGTTCTGTTCTAGTCTGAACTGTGTTCTGTTCTAGTCTGAACTGTGTTCTGATCTAGTCTGAACTGTGTTCTGTTCTAGTCTGAACTGTGTTCTGCTTTAGTCTGAACTGTGTTCCGATCTAGTCTGAACTGTGTTCTGATCTAGTCTGAATTGTGTTCTGAACTAGTCTGAACTGTGTTCTGATCTAGTCTGAACTGTGTTCTGAACTAGTCTGAACTATGTTCCGATCTAGTCTGAACTGTGATCTGAACTAGTCTGAACTGTGTTCTGATCTAGTCTGAACTGTGTTCTGATCTAGTCTGAACTGTGTTCTGATCTAGTCTGAACTGTGTTCTGAACTAGTCTAAACTGTGTTCTGTTCTAGTCTGAACTGTTCTAATCTAGATATATAGATATAAAGATTGGATCGATAGATATTAAGAACAGAAAAATAGATAGATACTTAGATTAGATAGATAGATACTAAGATTAGATAGATAGATAGATAGATACTAACTAAGATTAGATAGATGGTGAAAGCTGACAGGTTGGAAATGAAGCCTTTATTTG